CGTATTTGATTAGTGATACATAACATCGTCTGGACTCATTCTTAGTATAATAAAATTATTTTCAAAATAATTTGTAATTAAAAGAAGAGCGAACATTTAATTTCACAAATTATCCCGCGATAAAATATTTCGATGTATGTTTACTCATATTTTCGTGATAACGCGTGGCATAGTATCGCGTTGACACAATTTAGCGTAAGTAAAAGAAAGCGACTAATTACTGTTATTCTTCTTTTGTTTTTAAATCCTCACGATATTTTGCATAAACTGTACGTTGAATGAATGCCTTGTTTATAATATTATTTTACTAATTGCAAAGTAGCATATTTTCAATGTTCATGTAGCAGGCATGAAAATCTGTGAGTAGATTTTAAAAATATGTAGCTGATATTTTTATGTGATGATCAGTGTCTTATTTTAAACTTGTTGACTCAGAATGATCAGGGCATTAGTTGATCAGGGCATTATTCGACGGATAGTTTTTAATTCTGGACACAGCTCAAAATGCGTGTTTACAAATATGAACCAGGTTGAAATGCGTGTTTACAAAAATTGACACTGCAAGAAAAGCGCCTTTTCAGTTTTAAACCCTAATTTAACAACTTAACGGAGAGTTACGTGCTGACGTTTTCTTGCTTTTTTTCCCCTTTCCTTCCTAAATGATTTTTTTTATCTTTTTTTTTCTTTTTAAATAGTCATTATGGTGCAAAGTCCCAGACTTCGCAGTGAGGATGGAACTAGGTACATAGATGTAACTTTTCAGGCGGTTCAGAACTCTAAACAATAAAGTGAGTTTTAAAACTCAAAATTCCTACTACTTAAATTTACTGCCACTCTAATAAATTAATAGCAACCTTGAAAAAACAGCTCTCTCTCTTTTTTAGAAAAAAGACTAGTTTAATAAAATGCACCAAGTGATTTTATGCAAATGTCTCAGTTTAGACGATCTCACTTGACGAATTTATTTGGATCTACTAGTTTATTCTTTAAGAAAAAATTCTTATAAAAGAAGTTTGAAAAATGGAATAAAATGCGGTGTCTATTTTTATTACCACTTCGAGCTGAGCCCAGATTTGAAAACTCATCGACGCATCGTAATTTAAGTGACGCAGAATAAAAATGTTTTAGTGTTAGGCCTAACGCATGCAATTACTATCACATAGGTACTTAAGCATGGTTCCAGGGGAAACTTAAAGCATTAATTTAAATTAACGAAATTTTGTATTAATAAAAGATAAATTATTTGTAGCCAAGTAGAAATGAATAAAAATGTAATTATTGATTGATATCACTTCATGTTTAAATACTATTTTAAAATCTTAATGCTAAACTTACATGAATAAACATAAACAAAGGGATTTTTGACTAAGATCTTTTATTTTACTTTTATATTATTTTATAACAATCGTTGAACAGTGGACTCAATTTTGAGTTTATGACTATCAAAGTTCAACTCCGTAGCCTTGCAGTTTTGAACCCGATCCAGAAGACAAGAAAACTCCTGGATCAAGTATCGAGAGAAATTTGCCTTCCTAGAGGACTTTTTGATGAAACTAACCAGCATTTCTGTTACATGGAACGGTTAGCTTGACGGCAAGAGGACTCAAACCCATGATCCATTTACCACTGAGAAAATTTTACGTCACTACTGTGTTCATTTTGAGTCGGGTGCGATATTCGCATCGACCAGCCATCGCTGTGATTCGAACCTGGTTCACCTCATTGTGTCGCAATGACTCTATCCCCTTAGCCACCTATCTTTCGTAATTGGTAATTCTTTTACACATAATTATATCAGTAAAGGTCATTTTTATTTGACTCTAAATTGCCGAGATTCTTAATTGTCTGGTGTGTGCCGGGTGCGGAATTTGAACCCGGGTCATCTCATTGGCAAGTAAGAACTCTGTCCCATGAGCCACCACGGGTCTAAGATATTTTATTTAGCATAAATCAAAATTCTTAAATTTATCCTTCGAATTTCGAATTCTGTAGACAAAAACAATTTGTACTATTTCTCCCCTGCTAAGAAACATTTGATGGAAAAGAATTATTTGTTCAGTTTCACTATATAAATTTCAAAATTCGCAATAAAAATTTTTTTCGAAAGTTATTCAGAAGAATGTATTTTGTCAAGCTGTTAGCATTTCAAAAGCTAAATTGTGCTTACTTCTTCTCATGAGAATGCTAACTTATTAGTTACCTAAAAGTTAAAAAAGTTTAAAAAAAAAACGTGAAAACTGATATTTTCTGATTAAAAGTTAGATTGGTTTTACTTAGAAATAAATTTTTTAATACTTAATTTTCACAATATGAATTTGCCAATTCATTCCTTAATAAAATATTTTTAGTTAATGAAAAATTGATAATTTCAAAGAATACCCATTTTGTTTATTTTTTCATCACGATATTTTTACAAAACACAAAGATCACATTATTTTACTCCAGCGACCATAATGGTTCTAAAAGCATGTTAAAAAGAAGCTGCAAACAGAAAATATGTTAAAAAGAAGTTGGATATAAATATCATTAAATGTTGCTTCATACCTAAAACAACTCTTTGACCAGTATTTTCTGAAGGAAATAAAAAAACTCTTAGTCAAGAGTATTATATTAATAGAGTTATCTTAAAGCATAGTCTTAGTAGACCAACATGTTCTCATGCAATTTAAAAGTCTAAATTTGCCGGAAAAAAATGCATTATTACCAATTCTCAAAATTTCAATCTTTTTAATTAAAACATTTTTTTATTTTCTAATGAGTGCATTACACACATCTGAATACTTAATCAATTAATAATTCAAATGTTGCTAAAATATGTCAGGAAGCACATAGAATAAAAAAATCAGTTATCAGTGTTTATTACATTTATTATACAATATTGGATTCTTCTAAAGTTCGTGCTAGCTTTTATAAACGCAGCACATTTAAAGTTTTGTATGCATTTATATCATAATATAAACACTATTCCGTTTCCCGACAATTTCATTTCACAAGCAACCTGAACATTCCGTCCTACGAGGACCGAATAAAAACTTTTTACAAAAGTTATGATCGCGTCCAAAATCCTGCAGTTTTGTTCTCTAATTCTTGAAATTGTGAATTGATTGAAATAGTTGTTGAAAAGGATGCAAAAGTTTCTTGAATATAGTAGATGGTAGAAGTGCATCCTAATCAAGTTCTAACCACTTCTTATCTGATTCGAAGTATGAAATTTTTTTTCTCCATTAAATGAATTGTTCAAAATAGCTGAAAAGGATACAAAGTTTGTTGAATATAGTAGATGGTATAAGTGCATCTTAACCAAGTTCTAGCAACTTCTCATATCGTTTGAGGAATCAAACTTTCGTTCTCCATTAAGTGAATTGGGAATTGATCGAAATAATTGAAAAGGATATAAAGTTTATTGAATATAGTGGATGATGCAAGTGCATCCTAAACGAGCTCTATTGTCTTCTTATCTCGTTCAAAGTAGCAAAGTTTTTTTTCTCTCCATGAAGTCAATTCTGCATTGNTCGTGAATGTTTCCCAGACCGTCGCCAATAGCCCATTGTGCAGCTCTAGTGCGACGTAAATGAACTACAACAACAACAACAATTCTTGGAATTATGAATTGATTGAAATAGTAGTTGAAAAGGATGCGAAAGTTTCTTGAAAATAGTAGATGGTAGAAGTGCATTCTGATCAAGTTCTAACCACTTCTTATCTGATTCGAAGTATGAAATTTTTTTTCTCCATTAAATGAATTGTTCAAAATAGCTGAAAAGGATACAAAGTTTGTTGAATATAGTAGATGGTATAAGTGCATCTTAACCAAGTTCTAGCAACTTCTTATATCGTTCGAAGAATCAAAGTTTTTTTTCTCTCCATGAAGTCAATTCTGCATTGATCGAAATAGTTAAAAAGGATACAAAGCTTGTTGCATGTAGTGGATAGTGTAAGTGCATCCTGACCAAGCTCTGACGTCTTGTTAAACGCATTGCGCCGTAAATTTTATAGAAGAAACCTGTCTCTTTCCGATTCATTTCCATTGGAAGAGCTGACATAGATAAAAGGTTAAGTGGCGGAGTTTTTTATTTCTTTAACCCCTTAACGATCGGTTAATTTTCAAAAAAACGGTTATAAAAGTGCCTATTTTGCCAAATACACGTATTTGATTAGTGCTGACATCTGGTTTAAAATAAACTAACTATCTACAATTACCTTTAAAATATCCTGGTACTGCCATCTAGTGTGTAAACTGAGAAATAAAATGTTTTCCGGGCAAAAGAAATGAATTCGTTTTATTCTTATTGGCGCGTTACTACTGAACACTCCAGCACGGAAATTTCACGGGAGCGAGAAATAGAGGGCGAAACCTCACCCCGTCATTTTCACGGGAGCGAGAAGGAAGGAGTTAAAAAAGAAAAAGAAGAAGAAAAAAAAACGTTTTTGCATTGAAACAGAATTTTGATTACAAAACAATGGTAAGCGCAATAGATAAATATATAGACTGAGTCACTTAGTTTCGGAGTTTTACTAACGGTCAAGTTGGTAATAATTCGCAAACTTTACAACAAATGTTTTTGTTCTTTTCGTTTCTGTAAAATTTTCTGTTCTGACAGTTCTTTTCTAATGCAACTTCTCAGTTACTGTCTTTAATGTGTGTAATTAAAGGGCAATACTTTTTTGAATTCCTGATTCAAATCAGTGGTATTTAATGCGTGCTAAATAAGTGGTATTCATCAGTATTTAAATCAGTGGTACGTACGGACTGATTATTTCAAATCAGTCAGTACATACCACTGATTAAAACCGGCTAAAAATTTCTAGAAATCTTAACTGTAATTGCATCAAGTATATAGTTAGCAAATCAATTAGTTTTCATTAAAACACATTCAACTTAGCTGTGAATAAAAATTTTATCACTGACTAATTTTGTTAAATTATTCAGCACTTGAGTTATGTCTTCAATTAAAATATTACATTTTTTATTGAGCTTCCAAGAATGTTTTAAGTTATTTTTATAAGCCCATAGATTCATTATCGATCAAACATGCAAATAGCTTTTCATGTGGAAATGACAACATATTATAAGTATTTGTTTGAAAAATTAGACAGGAAAACAAAGAAACTTTATCGATCAACTATACCTTTTTAAAAGTATACGAATGATTAAGTCAATATTTTTTTTTCAATTTCCGTCCATTATCAACATTCGTTCACCTTTTAAAAAGAACTGTGAATTAAAATTTAATGTACTTTTTATTTTCCCAATAAACAAAGAAATTCTTTTTTTCTTCGAACTATTAATTTACCATTAAGTGTCCGTTGTTTTCTAAAAGAAAATGCATTATGCTGACGGCTATAAAGATATTCAGCTAAGATGTTTTCTCAAACAAAAGCTTTTACATTCGATCATTTTCATGAGGTACTTCAAAGAAGTTTTGATTTTTGTGACGAAACAAATAAAATTTTATTCATTTATGATTTAGAGAGGTTACGAAAAAAATGTTTCCCTAAACAAAAACCTCTGTTTATTATTAATGGAAAATTGTCTGAGAACATTTTAATCAATATACTGTTTACAAAATAAAAACTGCAATGCCCTAAATATATTTTGCTCTTATGATAGAAGTTTACATTCTAAGACGGTTTGAATGATGCAATATAAATATACAAATTAATTAGTGCATATTCAAAAACATGTTTTATTTTTTTTAAATATTTTACACGAGTTTAGATTTTTAGATTTTTAATAGAAAATTCAATACAAGCATTTAATTTTTGTTTAAATTTGATTCAAATATTT